TCTGATACTAAAACCAGGAAAAGACCCAACTAAAAAGAATTTCAGACCAATTTCACTAGTGAATATAGATGCAAAAATTCCCAATAAAATCCTAGCCAATAGATCACAGCTACATGTTAAAAAAAAAATAATTTATACATCACCATCACGTTTCATCCCAGGGATGCAAGGCTAGTTAAACAAACACAAGTCCATAAACATAATTCACCATAACAACAGAAGCAAAAAGAAAGACCATATGATCCTCTCAATAGATGCAGAAAAGGCTTTCAATGAAATTCAGCATCCTTTTCTAATTAGAATTCTAAAGGAAATAAGAATATGTGTCACATTTCTTAAACTGATTGAAGCCATCTACAACAAACTCACAGCTAATATACTGAATGTAGTAAAACTGAAAGCTTTTCCACTTAGAACTGGAACCAGACAAGGCCGTCCTCTTGTTACCACCACTATTCAACACAGTGCTGGAAGTTCTAGCCAATAAAATCAATCAAAACTACTTGGAAATATCATCCAACTCTAGTAAGATTAAGCCCACATCACAAAATCCCAAAACCAGAGATGTTGGCATGGATGTGGAAAAAAGGGAACATTTCTACATTGCTGGTGGGAATGCAAGCTAATACATTCCTTTTGGAAAGATGTCTGGAGAACACTTAGAGATCTAAAAATACATCTGCCATTTGATCCTACAATTCCTCTACTAGGTATATAGCCATAAGAATAAAAATCACATTGTAACAAAGACATATGTACCAGAATGTTTATTGCAGCCCAATTCATAATTGCTAAGTCATGGAAGAAGCCCAAAATGCCCATCAATCCATGAATGAATCAATAAATTGTGGTATATGTACTCCATGGAGTATTATGCAGCCTTAAAGATGGAGACTTTACCTCTTTCATGTTTACATGGATGGAGCTGGAACATATTCTTCTTAGCAATATATCTCAAGAATGAAAGAAAAAGTATCCAATGTATTCAGTCTTACTATGAAACCAATTTATAGCTTTCCAATGAAAGCTATAATCCAATTATAGCCCAAGAAGGAGAAAGGGGAGTGGAAGGGGAGGAGGGGGGGAGGATGGGTGGAGGGAGAGTAATTGGTGGGATCACACCTATGGTACATCTTACAAGAGTACATGTGAAATTTCCTAGGTGTAGAATATAAATGTCTTATAACACAATAACTAAGAAAATGCCCTGAAGGCTATGTTGACTAGTTTGATGAAAGCATTTCAAATTGTAACATTGTTAAAAAGTATATACTTCCCAAAGCAATCTACAGAGTCAGTGCAATCCCCATTAAAATACCAACATAGTTTCAAGATTTGGAAAAAACAATTTTTCATTTTGTATGGAATCAGAAAAAACCTAGTTTAACTAAGGCGATTCTTAGCAATAAAAACAAAGCCAGGGCATCAGCCTACTAGACAAGGCTATAGTGATCAAAACAGCATGGTATTAGCAAAAAGTAGAGACACAGACATTTGGAACTGAATAGAAAACCAGGAAATGAAACTAACATCTTACAGCCACCTAATCTTTGATAAACCAAACAAGAACATACACTGGGGGAAAGAATCCCTATTCAATAAATGGTTCTGGGAGAACTGGATAACCACATGTAAAAGACTGAAACTGGACCTGCACCTTTCTCCACTCACTAAAATTGATTCAAATGGATAAAAGATCTAAATCTAAGGCATGAAACAATAAAAATCCTCAAAGAAGCTGTGGGGAAAATGCTTGAAGTTATCAGACTGGGGAAAGACTTCATGAAGAAGGCTTCAGAGGCAATTGCAACAACAAAAATAAATGAATGGGAGTTAAACTGAATAGATTTTGTATAGCTGAGGAAACAACCAAAGTAAATAGACAACCATCAGAATTTGAATATTAATTGGACAAAAGCTTGATTATTAGGATTTACCGAGAACTCAAATTAATCAACATAAAAAGAGCCAACAATTCCTTATATCAATAGAGAAGAATAGAACCTTCTCTAAAGAAGACAAATGACTAACATGATAAAATGCTCATTGCCCCTAATCATCAGAGAAATGCAAATCAAAACCACCCTAAGTTATCACCTAACCCAAGTGAGAAGGGCCCACATCACTAAGTCTCAAAGCTGCAGGTGCTGGCATGGTTGTGGAGAGAAGGGAACACTTACACTGCTGGTGGGACTGCAAACTAATACAACCTTTTTGGAAGGAAGTATGGAGAACCCTCAAAGAACTCAAACTAGACCTCCCATTTGATCCTGTAATCCCATTACTGGACATCTATCCAGAAGAAAAAAAAAATCCTTTTATCATAAAGATATTTGCACTAGACTGTTTATTGCAGCTCAATTTACAATTGCCAAACCATGGAAAAAACCTAAATGCCCACCAACCCAGGAATGGATTAACAAGCTGTGGTATATGTATACCATGGAATACTATTCAACCACTAAAAAAAGATAGAGATGTTACATCTTTTGTATTAACCTGGATGGAGTTGAAACTTCTCAGTAAAGCATCACAAGAATGGAGAAGCAAGAATCCTATGTACTCAATTCTGATATGAGGACAATTGATGACCTAGTACATGGTGGGGGTGGGGGAAAAGAGGGAGAAGAGAGGGAAGGAAGGAGCGGGTGTGGGGTCACAGTGTGTGACACGCATCTTGGAGGCAGGAGGCAATTAGAAGAGGGACATTACCTAACATGCAATCAGTATAACCTGGTTCTCTGTACTCTCAACAATAAAAATAAGAAATCAGTACAGCTGCTGAGTTGTCTGGAGAATGAATAATGGAACAACACTGCAGGGAAGCCTTATTTCCTTGGCTCTCTTTGTAAGCAGCAACAGAGAAAGAAACAGACAGCTAGCTTCTACCTCACTTTCACCTTCCAAATCTTAAAGAGTGTGTGTACTTGCCAGAACCAAATTAATCTACTTGAAGTTCTGCTACTTGCTGGTGGTACTGTAGCTGCAAGGGAGTCAGAGAAATGTAGTTTTTAAACTTCTCAGCCTTTCTAACAAGTGGAAATTGGGTGAGTCAATCTGCAATTTTTACTATAACCATCAATATCAATTAAGAGATTACTGAAATAAGGAGTTATGATGAACAGTGCAATTCTGATAGTGGTGTGACACTGAAGAGAACATGGGACATCTTAGAACAGGGACATCTTAGAATTCAGAGATTAGGCAAGTGAGAGAGTACTAAACAAAGCAGTTAGAGAATGTTAAGCCATTTCTGTAAGGTGTGTAACTAGTTACAAAAATGTTACAATCACAAAGGTAACTACAACTGGGTGGCATAGTTTGTAAAATCAGATTAAACTTAATTAGATGTGAGTTATCAAGAGTCTAAGAATTCATCTGAAGCAATCAGTTGGTAGAAGCAAGTATATTCTAAACAATTATATTTAAGGTAAATTATGATCGTAGTAAGCAAAGCACTTAACACTGCTATAAAATGAACAGAAAAATACTAACAAGTCAGTCTACTCTTTTAATATTAAGAAAAATAGAATTAGAGTTTCAATGGACACTTCCAGATGAAACAGTTGTACCAAGAAAAGAGAAGATGATTAAGAAATTCAATTTGCCATGCAGAATTTCCGGTCTTTTTAAACACTAAAAAGTCTAGCAATTTGTGTGAAAATAACCCAATAATAGTCACTAGATTATTTAAATTATTAGAATATGAAGTACCTGTCAATGTTTTTTTTTTTTTTAGGATACATTAAAATTTGGTTTAATAATTCTTTGTGGCAAAAAAAAAAATCACATTTGTAGTGAACGAACAACACACATTTTTAGGCTATTATTTTAAACTGCCATCCCATGAATTCATATGGAAGAGGCTCCAGTAGCTAAGGGAGGCACCTTGCCATTGAATGTGACAAAATATTGACTTCTGAATTCATGGGAAATAGGTTCCAGCACCTTGTAACACTGTTACATGGGGTCTGTTGGTCATCCTGTGTGCTATGCTGTACACCTATTATGCCATGAGCTCATGGAGAGTAAATAGGTTTTTGCACCTAAAAGCATGGGTCCACTGGTACTCCTGCTTGCTGTGTTATATGCTTTATGCCATGAATTCATAGGGAATGGGTTCCGGAGCTCAGGCTCCTTTCTGTTGGTTCTCACAAAGTGGGCTTCTCTGGGTGGAGCAGGCTGGCACTTCAGTTGAACCCAGGTAACTTTCTCTTTGGCTTCCTTCTTTTTCTGATCATTTTCCTTCACACTTTTCAGGAAGCTATCTCAGCTCTTAGAGTGCTTAATATGCTCAATACGAACATTAATCCTCTTGGCAAGAATCTTGCCCTTAACTTGTTTACAACAATGCCAACAGCATGCTGGGTAACATTGTAGACTTCCAGTTTTGCCATAGTAACATTTGCATGGCATGCCTTTTTGAACAGTACCCATTCACTTGCAATATCACCTTTCTTGTAGATTCGCATGTATGTGGCCAAAGGAACAACTCCATGTTTTCTAAAAGGCCTAGAGAACATGTATCGGGTGCCTCTCCTCTTTCCCTTTGTGTTTGTCATTTTGGTGAATTACTCAAAGATGGCGTCTCTGGCTGAAAGCCAAGGTTTCAATAATAAAAATATTTTTAACAGACCCTATTTGGTAATAAATTAAACTTATATACAATTGATTAATTTCAAAATAAATTTGAGCTGTAATTAAGCTTTTATATTAAGTGCTCTGGAAAAAAATATAAATCAAGATGATTAGAGCAAATACATTCAAGAAATAACCATGGTATGAGCTGCTGTATCATCTTAAATGAACAAACACTACTAAAGATCTCATAGTAGTAATAACTACTTTGGGAATGGAAAAGGTTTTAATCTTATTATTAATTTTAACTTTTAATAATTCTGATAATACCCAAATACTAGTAACAGTTTTAGAAGTATTTACCATGCCCAAATATTTTAGTTTCAATGACAGAAATTCACTCAATGTACACACAGGGATAAGTAATTCCATTCACAATTTATTGAATTGCAAATCAGATTAATTAAATGTTATGGTGGTTAAGTAGAGAATATATCTCTGAAAAATATCTTGGTGGGTTTTTGGATGTCAAAATGTATACCAACATTATTAGATTATTTAAATTATTAGAAGAATATGAAGTACCTGTCAAGATTTCAACAATAAAAATATTTTTTAAAGACCATCATATTTTTAATAAATTAGATTTATACAATTGATAATTTCAAAATAAATAAAACCTGAGCTGTAATTGCCTCATACCCCAACCCCAATCCCAGCATACATACCTTTTATACCATATTCATTTAGACCAGTGGTTCTCAACCTGTGGGTCACGACCCACAAGAACTGTATTAAAGGGTGGCGGCATTAGGAAGGTTGAGAACCACTGATTCAGACCAATGTGTCTCAAACTTTTAGAAGCACACATATCCCTTGGGGATCTTGCTAAGATGCAGTTTTTGACTCAGTAAGTATGTTGTGGGGCCTGAGAGTCTACATTTCTAACAAGCTACAGATGAAGCTCATGCTGACAGTCTCTGGACCACCCTTTAAACAGCAAGGTGACCCACTATTTACTTAGTGATAACTTCTGGCCTAATGACTGTGGTTTTATAGATTCAAGGCTGTAATATTTTGGAATCACACATAAGAAGTAACCAAAATAATCACAAAAATTAAGTCTTGGAAGAAAATAATGGTTTAGTTAAGGAAAGCTTAAAGTATACCAAGTTGGCAGTGTTTCTACTTGTCTGACAGCGACACCTTTGATAAATTACAATATAAATCAGAACACTAAGTTCTTGTAACTTAAAAAAATGAAGTTACTGTAGCCTGAAGCTCTCCTCCAGTCAAGTCTAAAAACTCAAGCCAGTACACTGCAAAACCACTATTAAAAACCTTTAATGGTAAACCGTCCATTTAAAATCTTCTAAACTTGCTTTACGCTATCCCATCTCCTCCTCCTCTTTCAACAAATAAATGCTGCTTTTTCTTCTGTCTTGTAGTTAAACAGCGTGTAACACCCAGTGCCCCTCCCTTTAAAAATCGAACAAAATTGTCTCCAACCAAAGGACCCAAAGCAAAAAGGTTGGCTTCTTTAACACACTCATAGGTATATGTATCTATTTCCACAGGATTACCCTTACATGTGATTGGCTGACTTGATTTATGGCCTAGGTAACATCCTTGTTCCTTCAGAAAAGACAGATTAGGATGAGAACCTATCAACACTACTGCAGCAGAAAGTTTAAATATTTTCTTCAATCCAGAGATGCTTTGAAGAATGCATTTCATGTCCGACTTAAAGGAAAGCACATGGTGCTCAGGAAAACTGGTATAATCAGATGAAAGATTTGGGTTTACAGAATATGACCGAGTACACATCATATGATAGACTTTATGGTATTCTGGATAAAGCTTTTTGGGAAGCTGCTTAAAAATTAAGCTTGGATCAGTTACTCGTCTGCGAAATACATGTATCACAGGAATATTATTGTTGTACGCACAGAGTACTGCATCAGCAGCAGTGAGCCCAGAACCTACAATTAACACTGGGTCCAATTTGCCACGCAACTTTCCTTTGCTTATAGCAGCTCCAAATTCAGGCATTGAATGAAACACAAATGGAAAACCTTCCCCTTCAATTTCCAGATGAGCAGGAGAATCCAATGTTCCAGTTGCCAGAGCTACATTCTCAGCAAAGAGACAGAAGGGAATATGAGAACCATCTGCTACTCGCTGATAACCCCTGATTTCCCAGTTTCTCTTGATAAATTTTGTCTCCTCTATCTGTAAATGATTTGTTGAAATATCTCTGACTTGACTGTCATCATCGTCTTGATCTCTGTAGAGTCTTGATACGGAGGTTATATAAGTATTATCTCTGAAATTCTTCTGAAGGCCCATGACTTTTACATAATGTTTATAGTAGCGAGCTATTTCTTCTGGCATAACTCGATCCCCTTTCAGGTTCCTAAAAAAGGAAAAGAAAAATATATCATATGATGATAATACTATTAATTTCCAAAGTTATTGCTTCTCCATCTAGTAAGCTTTTATAGCTCTTTAATTCTCTGGATTGTCTGCAAAACCACTATGAAAAATCTTTAATAAATTATATTAGCACTCACCAAAAAAAGCTTTTTTTTTCTTTTTTAGTTAAAAATGTTAATGAATTAGTTTTAACAACAAAGGAAGACCCATAAGGACAGAGACTGTATTTAATGCACTTTGTTTCCCAGTGCCATGTATAGTGTCTGCACAAATTCGCTACTTGATAAACTTTCATTAAAAAAAATTAGGGATTGGGGGCGGAGCCAAGATGGCGAACTGCAGCCAGCTTTTTACAGAAGCTCCCGTCCAGAAGGAGGCTGAAAGGACAGAACCTTAGCAAATTAGCTGATGGTTTGGAGCAGAGACAAGAGAGAAGATTGAAGAGTGCACTTCAACCTTCCTGAGGCGAGCTGCGACCCT